CCAAACCATCACAAGTCTGGAATTCCTCCTCCTCACGTACCATCAGGAGGTTTACACATCTGCTGGAGAAGTGGAGCCAATCTAAACCCTTGCTGAAGGGACTAATAAGGTTAGATAATTGGATTTCTGGCAGATGAGCTTAACAGCAGCCAACCATTCCCTTTGGAAGTTCCCTTTGGAAGCAATACTGGACAGTGGTAATTGGCACTTGCACAGAAAGGATATAATGAAGCACATTACACTGACCCATTAGGCATGAAAGCTTGCCCAGGTATGGTAATACTTCAACAAATTGGTTTATATCTATTTCTATCACTTAAAACACAAGAGAGACAAAAAAAATGAGCTGGGAAGCTACAGCCCAGGCAGCCACACTTTTGTTGCTGAGGAAACCATGGGTCAGGCCCTCATGGAAGCTTTTTCCAGGTGCACAAAGGGCAAGAAGGTGAGTGGGGAAAGCCAATATTTCCCAAGGGTAAATCACATCTGACTGCCTTCTGTGATGGTACTATCTGCCCCCTAGATGAAGAGCTGTGGCTCTCTCAGCCTCAACAATGTGTTTGACAGAGATTCCCACTTGTTGACATGTTGGTAAGATCTGGACCGGACAGGGAAATATGAGATGGGTGGGGAAAGTGGCTAAACTGCTGATGTCCAAGGGTTCAATGACTCTGACAGTCTGAAAGAGAGCCAACAAGAAAGGCATGGAAGAGAAAGTCCTGAACCTGGGATGGCAGAGCTGCAATCAGCAGTACAAGATGTTCTGCTGGGAAGGATGTGATGGACAGCAAGCTGCACATGAAGAAGCAGTGTGTCCCTTCAGTGGAGGTTAAATGTGTCCTAGCACCAACAAGAGGATCTAGAGCATCCACAGGATTATTCCACTTGTTGAGTGACGGCTAGAATACTGTGTCCAGCTGTGGCTCCCACAGCATAGAGAGGCTTTGACAAACTGCAGATGGTCTCATGGAGGGTCACCACGATGGGCAGAGTGCTGGAGAACATGGCCTGAAGAATGGTTGAAGGAATTGGGTTTGTTCGGCCTAGAGAAAATCCAACTCAACCCTTCCAACACCTAAAAGGTGTTTAGAGAGGAGATGGAGCTGCTCTGCTTACAAAGTGCATAGAGACAAGCCAAGCAGCAACAGGCACAAGTTGATCCAGGGAAATTCCATCAGGACATAAAAAGAAAAGTCTTAATCATAGAATCTTGGAATGGTTTGGGTTGGAAGGGACCTTAAGTTCCAACCCCCTGCCAAGGGCAGGGACATCTTTCACTATACCAGGAGTAAACACTGGAATAGGTCACCCAGAGAGGTGCTTAAACTTCCCTCACTGGAGATACTCCACCCTGAGCTTCAGATGTCCCCAGGTAACCCAATCCAAGGCCCAGTCTGGACCAGATAACTTTGAGAGGTCCCACCCAACCTAGACGTTTCTGCAATCCTCTTCTTTCTAGAAGTCTTCACTCCCCAAAGGCCAATCTGAGCCACTCAGTAAACTCCGTAACTGCATTGTCTGCAAACAATTCCCCGCTGGATGGAAATGTTCACTCCAAACCCACCGAAAAGAGGTTTACTACCTCTGCACTTGTCATATCAATGCTATGTCCATAAAGAAAGAAGCTACACTGCCACAGAAAATATAATGTTGAGTACCTACAACCCAAGACATCTCTGCATTAAGCCTGAGGCATTTTTCTTCTCAAAAGGCCAAAAGGAAAAATGGAGTGAAATATTTAAGACATTCATTTATTAAAATCACCCAACTATCCCACACAAAGCTGGTTCCCTTCTGTCAGGAAAATATAGGCCCATAAATTTAGCTATAAAGTTCCCCTCGGATTTTTCATGATCTATATAATTGTACAAATAAAAAATGACAAGCAGCCAAAGAGAGCAACTGACAGCAGAGTGGTTAAATGGCATCCCAGTGAGCATTTCAATCTGTACAGTAGCACTGGAGTCAAACATGAGACAGAATGATTATGCAGTAATTGGATGAAGCCAAAATACAGTTCACAACCTTTCCACACACCATCCAGCACAAAACAAATCAGAGCAATAAAGCTGATGCCATTTCCCCTGCTTAAGTCTCCCCACGCAGATATTCATTTACTCTGCCTACAGATTGATTAAGAGTTGGTTCTGAAGAATAGTTCACCAAGAAAAGTAAGGAAAAGGATAAGGTTTTTTCATCCAAGGAAATAAAAAGCAAACAACACATGTCAGACTTGATTGCAAAATTCACAAGGTCATATCCTGAGGTGACAGAAATCGCAGTGTGAAGAAGCTGCATTGGCTTATTCCATAACACTACTTGGCCTAACTAGTCTTAGACTCAATCCATAAGCAAAGTTTCAAGGGAATGAAGGTCAAACGAATGATGGCAGGAAAGTTTCTTTCATTCCAATAGTCTCTCAGAAGCTGATGCTCTCAGGCCAGGAAGGTGTGTGTGTTCAAGGACTTCCCTCAGCATGTTAAAATACAACAGAATAAAAATGCTACTTCAGAATTTGAGACTCTGCAGTGCCTGTGCAGCATAAAGAAGCACTGACTCTGCATAGCTTTGTGCCTCTTCCAACACTGTAAAATCATACAGTCACAGATTCATCAGGGTTGGAGGAGACCTCTATGATCATCAAGTCCAACCATTAACCTCTCACTGCTGGAACCCCTAAACCATATCCTCCAGTGCCACATCCAGACACCTCTGAAACACCTCCAGGGATGGTGACCCCACACTGTTGGCTCCCACTGAGCTGTGCCACCAGCACTGCCAAGTCCTTTGTGCCCAACACCTCTGTCCCCACTCCTCCCCCAGCCTGGAGCTGCACGAGCTGTTGTGTCCCAAGGGCAGGAGCAGCACTAAGCCTTACTGACCCTCATGCAGTTGTCCTCAAACCACTGGTAAGTCAGTCCAGATCTCCCTGCAGAGCTTTCCTACCCTCAGGCAGATCCACACTCACACCCAACTTACTGTCATCTCCAAAATGGTAATATCAAAATGATACGGTACTGGAGATGCTAAATCATGAGTTTCTTTAGCCTCAATATCACGTTTCCTTTCCAGTTTGACTCAGAAGCAAACTCCTTTTTCTGAGTCACAGTCACTCTTTCAGACATCTCTCTGTTCTCCAGGAAAGGTTTCATATACTTCATGCAAATTTCTCCTTCAATAACAATTTAAAACCAAGAGATGAAAACTCTACGGCCCCTCAGGCCTCATAGAAAATAAGTGAATCCATAATTATTCCTTAGAAAAATAACAAAAATCCTTATGTTTTGTCTCACAACAGCTAAATCCTTCTCACAAACTTTAAATATCTGTAGCTTTCAGCTTACCATCTGGAAGCTTCTGGTGGAGTGAAATTCACACTGCATCATATCGAAGAAGATAGGGATCGTGGCTTTCCGGAGCTCTGTCTCGGGGATAAGAGTCATTTCTAGGATGGGTCCCACCATTTCTGGGATGAATTTGATTTTATGCTGACCTTTAAGAGAAAAAGAAGAGTTTCAGAGTTAACAAACAGACACTGAAGGTATAAAAACTGTGTCAATTAATTCTCAGAAAGCACAACACAGGATTTTTTAATATCTGGATTGACTGAAACAATTCTAATTCTATTAGTATTGCTGTTGTTGTTGCTGCTGCTGTGCTGTTATCTGGACAGACTGAAACACTTCTTCTCCTTCTTCTTCCTATATTACGATTATTATTATGCTGTTGTTGTGCTGCTGTATAGAATCACTGAATTACCAAGGTCGGGAAAGACCTCGAAGATCATCCAGTCCAACCATTAACCTGTCACTGCTGGAACCCCTAAACTCGAAACCAGATCCTCCGGCACCACACCCAGACACCTCTGAAACACCTCCAGGGATGGTGACTCCACTGGGCAATTCCCTAACCCAGTGCCAGAACACTCTCACAGGGAAAACATTTCTCCTCACATCCAATCTGACTCTGCCCTGTCCCAGCTCAAGGCCATTCCCTCTAGTCCTCTCCCTCAGCCCTGGCAGGACACACATCCCACACCTCTCTCCAGCCCTGGCAGGAGTTGCAGAGAGCCAGGAGGTCACCCCTGAGCCTCTTCTCCAGGCTGACCAAGCCCAACTCCCTCAGCCCTTGCCCATGTGCTCTGCCCTTTGCTGCCCTCGTTGCCCTTGGCTGGACTCGCTCAGTGCCTCAATGGCCTTTGGGCAGTGAGTGCCCAAAGCTGAGCACAGCACTGAGCTGGGACCTCCCCAGTGCCCAGTGCAGGGGGATGAGCACTGCCCTAGTGCTGCTGCCACACTCTGCTGGAGCCAGGACAAGGTGCCCTTGGCCTCCTTGGCCACCTGTGCACACTGTTGGCTCCCACTGAGCTGTGCCACCAGCACTGCCAAGGCCTTTGTGACCAACACCACTCTCCCCACTCCTCCCCCACACTACAGCACTGTAGCCTGTAGATGCAGTTGTTGTTATTATTTTTCTTATTATTATCAGCACTATTGCCACAGCAGAGGAGGTATGTGTGATGTACTACCCTGAATTAACAAGAGTTGTGGAATGAGTACTCAACCTGGGAATTGCCATGTTATCCTCTTAGCACCCACAGTTTCCTACTCATCTTAAACTTCAAAGCTTTATTTTAAAACACACCTTATGGCTGAGCAGAGGAGGAGGCTAAAAGGCACATCACTTGTATTAACTTATTTAGACTTGTGTGTCTTCCTTGGCGTACAAAATGTTCTCGGTGTCAGTCTATCAAAGTGTCACCACGAGTGCAGACTCACACAGCCTGGAGACATGAAACCACAGCTCACCCAGCTGACAATATGTCTCCTTTCCTCAGGAGCTGAGCTGAGGCAAACCTGAGTTCACATTCATCTTCCCAAGAGAAAGCTGCTCCTCCCCCAGCCCTCCCTGCTAGGCTCTCCACACATGGAGGAGAAATTACAGCTCAACAGGAACGTGGCACCTAGTAAACACTGGACTAGGAAAAACCATCTAGTTACTGCTTATATTATTAGCTACATGAATGCAGGTTATATGTGCTGCAAATTATCTCCTAAACAGCTCCATGGAACAATGACAGGATCACAGACTGGTTTGGGTTGAAGGGACTTTAAAAACCATCTCATCCCCCCCCCTGCCAAGGGCAGGGACCCCTCCCACCAGCCCAGGGTGCTCCAAGCCCCATCTAACCTGGCCTGGAACACTCCCAGGGATGGAGCAGCCACAGCTGCTCTGGGCAACCTGTGTCAGTGTCTCAGCACCCTCAGTGTACCATGATGAGCAGCTCAGCACAGTCCTGAGAGCTCCAGGCTGAGGACACAAGGGCAAAAGTTCAGGAACTGTTAGGAACTGCACTGACAGGATAAGGTGTAATGGGGAGAAATTGAAAGAGGGAAATCTAGATTAGATGTTAGGCAGTAGTTTCTCCTGTAAAGATGGTGAGACACTTGCCCAGGTTGGTTGTGGCTGCCCCAACCCTGGCAGTGTTCATAGCCAGGTTGGATGAGCCTTGAGCAACCTGCTCTGGTGGGAGGTGTCCCTGCCTAGGGCAGGGGTTGGGGCTGGATCATCTCTAAGCTCCATTCCAACCCCTAAAATTCTATGATTCTATAAAAATAGAAATACATTTCTCTCTCAGCAACAGTCTGGGCTTCATTTGACCCTCAAACTGGAGACCTTCCTCACCAATGCCATGTTGTGTGTGTACCCCACAGCCTCACACACTTTGGGCACTCACAGCTGTGCTTCAGCCCAGAGCTCTTTGGAGCTCACCTTGTTTAAGGAGCCCTCAGCTTCCTCCACCCCTCAGCCTCTTCCTCCCCATTGCACTCACCAGTGGCACAGGACAGAAACTGATTTTCCCTCATTTATATTCCACTGCACCACACCATTCTGACAGTAACCAGCGAAGTCTTTAATTAGTACCTTCACTTTTGACCAGAACTACCATAAATCTCAACAAATGTAATCAGGAAGAAATCCTTTACTAACAAAACATGCTGCTGGGGTGGGTTTTTTTAGCAGATATAATTTAAGTTCCTTGATTTGGCAAACTTCAGAATCCTATTAGCATTAGCAATCCTATCAGGGCAAATTAATACTCAACTAAAACTGTGGCTTTGGGTGCTGCTGCAGTGCTGGTTGGTGGTGAGGAATATCAAGTGAGAGAGAGCAGAAAGCTTTCCTCCCTCTCCTCTCCTACAAGTGTTATTACATTTGGCCTCTCAGGTGACAGATCTCTTGTATTATGCCTGAAGAGTGCCAGAGTCAATATTTCAGAAAACAAGTAACAGTGACACAAGTCATTCATCACACACAGACCCAATGTCAGGAAGTCCTCCCTGTGCCATGGCGGGTTCTTCCATCGCCTCCAGTGCAGGGATTCCCTCAGAAGAGCAACTAACAACATCTGAATTTCAGCTGTAAGCCCACAAAGGTTCAAATCTGTGATCCTGTTTCCTGTTCTCTGGGGGAAGTCCATCAGCTGGGATGATGTTTATGGACATGGGATGGAAGGGGCAAGGTGACACCGTGAGGCTACGATGACACATATGTGTTTGCTATGATGTGATCCTGTGTGATGTTGTGCCACAAAAGAAAGCAGAGAAGCAAAGCAGGAAAGGAAACAATCCTCCTCTGGCTCTCTGGAGCATCTCTGCCTGCACCAGCTGCACTTTCTGATAGACAACCCAACAACAAATTCACCTTTGTTCCTCCACAGGAGTGTAGAACTCCCATGCAGAGACTCTGGATGTGACAAGGCTGGAAGGAAATTGAGGATTCTCTCCTGCTAGGCTCTCCACACATAGAGAATTACATACTTAGCAGGAAGGTGGCAGCTGGATAGGAAAAACCATCTAGTTATTGTTTATATCATTAGCTACATGAATGTAGATTGCATGTGCTGCAAATTACCTGTGAAACAAGTCCATGGAAAGATCACAGAAACCCAGACTGGTTTGGGTTGGAAGGACCTTAAAGATCAGTGATTTCCACCTCCTGCCAAGGGCAGGGACACCTCCCACCAGCCCAGATTGCTCCAAGCTTCATCCAACCTGGCCTGGAACACTCCCAGGGATGGAGCAGCCACAGCTGCTCTGGGCAACCTGTGCCAGTGTCTCAGCACCCTCAGTGTACCATGACGAGCAGCTCAGCACAGCCCTGAGAGCTCCAGGCTGAGGCCTTGATGGCAGCTGCTTTAAGAACCACGTGAAAAAAGCATCCTCTGAGCATGCAGAGCTTTCCCCTTGCAGTGTCTGCCTTGCCAGGAGATGTTCTTACGCAGCAGCAACGAACCAGGAACCTCATCACACAAACCAAAGTGCTCTCTTAGTTGGGTACCTCGTATGTGACTCTCATTGACCAGGTCCTTCTCACTTCAATTGGGGCCACAAATCCCCTGAGGAATTTGCCAGCAGCCTCACCTCTCACTTGGGTCGCTGGGAACATGCATGACTAACCCACAGAGTGTGATCTGCAATGACTTCTATTTACGTAACACCCAAAGTTCAGGGCTATTTTTAACTCTGGACTTCCCTCCCATGACATTAATGTCTCTGTCAAGACACCTTTGGTGACGTCAAGCACTTGGAGGGACTCACTGCAGGACACCAGCAGCAACCACTTACCCTCACCTTCAGGAATTTCACTCCCTCCAGCTCCTTCAGACATCAAAAATCAAAGCAAATGCTTTCCCATCTGCCTCTCCCTGACCAGCTCCACCACCAGGATACTACTGTAAATGTCACTCCCATCCCTTCACCACAGACCTGCCGGAACCATTACCCACTGCAAACCTGTGCACATGCCCTTGTGTCCCACTGTTGGGATGTAGATCCTAAATTGCATCACATAAAGCTTTTCAGTGTGTGGGTTTGGAGCTCCTGCACTGCCCAGACAGAGGCCATGGCTTGTTTTATGCTTCTCTGGTACTTACTGTCTCACCCAAGTTGAAGAAGCCCAAAGTGACTCAAAATAACACGTTATTTTAAAGTTCAGGTGGTGATGTGGAAGGGAAAAAAGGCTATAAAGTGCTGTTCTGCACTATAAATGCTCTTTTCTTCTACTTCTAAAGGGAGGAAGGTGTGACTGCTGCAGCCCCAACTGCATCAGAAATCTGCAGACAGGAGAAAACTTTTAGAACTTGTATTTTACTGTTTAATTTCAGAGAATAAATGATGCTCTTCAATGTGCATCATAGCTGGGGGACCGTCTCGTTCCCAGCTGAGGGGTTTTACCTCAGCAGGCACCATGTGTTAATCATGGTACTTAGGAACTGAACCTGATGAGACAAAAGATCCATTTTTTGAGGCTTATCCACACCTTTTAATCCCAAAATCAAAAGTCAGGGTGGTTTGGTTTCAGCATATTTTATGCGTAGTCATAAAAATCCTACGCTCAAGCATGTGGCAGAATTACAGCCTTTCACTTCTGGGTGTGTTCCTGAACATACACAGGAATGTGACCTTGACAGGTTGGAGGGATGGGCAGAGA